GAGGAGCAAACCACGGTTGCCTGGGCCACCATGGAGCTATGAGAATGCAGTTTGCTTTGTCTCTGATGATCTTCGCTACTACTCTGGAGAGTAGAGGTAGAGGGGGAAAGATGTAGAGGAATCCTTGGGACCACTGGAAGAGGAAGGCATCTCCTAAGCAGCCTGGGGATACGTGAGGTTGGAGTCTTGCGCAAAAAAGTGTGCACTGTGTGTTGTCTGGGGAAGCAAACATGTCTACTTGTGGATGGCCCCAATGGCGGGTCAGGAGGTTGAACTCCTTGGGGTGTAAATGCCACTCGTGGGTTGTGGTCGGAGTCCTGCTCAGAGAGTCCGCCAGGGTATTGTCTTTTCCTGGAAGGTGGATTGCAACGAGGAATATGTTCCTCCGGATGCACCATTCCCAAATCTCGGATGTTATTGACAGGAGGGTTGGGGAGTGGGTTCCCCCTTGTTTGTTGAGGTAGAATTTTACTGATGTGTTGTCTGTGACTATCTGGATGGTGCGGTTGGAGACCAGGCGAGCAAAGGCCCGGAGGGCTTTCCCCACTGCTAGTAACTCCAGAGCATTGATGTGGAATTGAAGCTCCGAGTGAGACCAGCGGCCGCTGATCGTCAAGTCTCGGAGGTGTGCTCCCCAGCCGGAGGAGGAGGCGTCTGTCGTCAGCGACAGAGACAGGCGGGGGTGTGTGAATGGGAGACCTGAGCACACATTGGATTCCTTTGTCCACCACAGGAGGGAGCTGAGGACATGAGCGGGAGGATGGAGGATCATGGATTGTGAGTCGTGTATGGGATCGAACACTTTGAGGAACCAGGATTGGAGTGGGCGAAGGCGAAGGCGGGCGAAAGGGGTCATGCTTGTGGTGGACGCCATGTGGCCAAGTATGGACTGGATAGCCCATGCAGAGGATCGGCCTGAAGAATAAAGGCTGTTGATGGCTTGGCAGAGATTGGAACACCGGTCTTCTGGCAGGTAAGCCCGTTGGGATACGGAGTCTATCAGGGCACCAATAAAATGGATGCGCTGGGTAGGTATGAGGTGGGATTTGTCGAGATTTACGACAAGTCCAAGTTCCTGTAGGAGAGACAAGGTGAAGGAGATGTCAGAAAGGAGTTGGGGACGAGATTTCGCCGAAAAAAGCCAATCATCTATATATGGAAAAACCGTTACGCCGTTTTGGCGTAGGTGAGCAGCTACTACTGCCATGCACTTAGTGAAAACCCTTGGGGCGGAGGAAAGGCCAAAGGGTAATACGGAGAAGGAAAAAATGTGATTGTCTAGCGCAAAGCAGAGGTATCTGCGATGGCTCTGCCTAATTGAAATGTGGAAGTATGCATCCCTGAGGTCTACCTTGGCGAGCCAAGCTCCTCTTGTGATGAAAGGAAGGATGTTGGCTAGTGTGACCATGTGGAATCTACGAGGTGAAATGAATTTGTTAATGCCTCGGAGGTCCAAGATGGGGCGTTGGCCTCCGTCCCTTTTATCTACTAGGAAGTAGCGGGAGAAATAGCATGTGTGAGCTAAGTCGGGATGTATAGAGGAAATTGCTCCTTTCTCTAAAAGAGAGAGGATCTCATCCCAAAGCATGGGAGAGGATTGCGTAGGTAGAATTTTTCCCAGTGGGGGGAGAGAATCGAATTCAATGGCGTAGCCTTCATCAACTATGCGGAGGACCCAGGTGTCATTGGTTATGGACTGCCAGGCAGGTAAGTATGGATGGAGTCTGTCAAGGTATGAAGGTAAGGTGGTGTGTGTGGAGGGTAGGGAGGGGACAGGTGGATTTATTATTGGGGAGGGAGGGGGGCTAAAAACGCCGTTTTTTGTTATCTGGCGGTTTTGTGCCCCTGTACTGACCCTTAAAGGGAACAAGTGGTTTCCCAGTGGTGGTAGGAGGAAGGTGAGGACGTTGTTTCCCTCTGTAGGAGTGGGGGTTGTAACGGCCTCTATGATAGGTGGGATAGTGATAGTAATTACCCCATCGCTGTCTCTGTTGGTAAGGTTGTTGGTCATATTTAGTGACCGTTTGTTTCATCTCATGGGAGTGTTTCAACTGGGAATCAGTTTCTGGATTAAACAATCCTGTTTGATCCATAGGAAGATCTTCAATCAATGTGCGAGCTGAAGGAGAAAGGGTGGACGCCCTGAGCCATGCGTGACGTCTCAAGGCCACTGCCCCAGCAATAAGTTTGCCCGATGTATCAGCTGTGTTCTTTGCTAAGTCCTTTTGGAGCTTAGAAAGGAGAAATGCTTCTTGAGCAAAGGCTTTTGCCATTGCTTGATCAGCCATCGGTAGGAGATCAAGATAAGGTGAAATTTTGTTCCAGAGGAACGTCTGGTATACACTCATGTAAACGCCATAATGTGCCATTCTGGCGAACAGGCAAGCAGAGGAATAAAACTTTTTTGCCATGGCATCCAGTTTCTTTCCTTCTTTGTCTGAGGGAGAAGCCTGGTTTCTTTGAACTGGTTTGGGTTGGGCGTCTGTAACAACTGAGTTGGCTTTAGGCAATTTAGCAAGCCATGAGGCTGCTGTGAGGTCAATGCGATAAAGATTCTCAGCTCGCTTTGGTGTAACTGGAACCAGGGCTGGAGAGACACCTTCTGTCTTTAGAACTTCTAGAAGGTAAGGCAATGTGGGCAATATGGTAGACATGGGTCGTTGCTGTTCGGATGAGGTGAAACATGGGTCATCCACAGCCTTAGTGGGCTGGGGAATAGCCAGATTCAATGACCTGGAAAGCCTAATGAGTAAGGCAGAGAAGTTCTTGAACTCTTCTGCTTGTAAAGGGTCTGGGTCTGGTTCAGATTGAAGAGGAGGAGTGGGAGGCGAATCACTAGAGGATTCGATATCCACAGTCTCTGCATCAAGGTGAGGATCCTGCTGGGGGGTGGTAGGATCCGGGGGTGCTGCCCCCTGGAGTTGAGGGGCGGGAGGTTCAGGAGGGGGCCTGGAAACAGTGGCAGAAGGGGGGGGGTAAGGATGAGGATAGGGATGAGGAGGAGGAGTATGATCCTTCGGGTATTCTCCCTGGAAGAAAGGGTAGTATGGGAAAGGAGGTGGGGGGTAGAGAGGAAAGGGATAGTCATAAGGATAATGGAAGCGCGGATCGCGCCCGCGCGGGCGCTTGGAGGAAGGGCTGCGGGACCGGGATCGGGAATGGGAGGGGAGGAGGAGGATCGGGACCGGCGCCTGGAGGAGCGGCTCGGCCGAGAGTGGCCACGATCCCTCTGAGAGGTGGAAGGGGCCGGTACCGGGGAAGGAGGGTGTTCCCTGGGAGGCTGAGCCGGCTGGAGGAAGGAGGGAGAAGCGGGGAGGTTAGGGTCGAGCTGGGAGTTGAGAAGCTCGATCGGGAGGAGTTCCGGGGGCTCCTGAAGCTCCAGGAATTGGGGAGCGGTTTGCTCCATAGGTGAAAGCTCCAGCAGCTGGGCCAGTGGTACCGGCGGGGGAGGACTCAGGGGCTGTGCGCCAGAGAATTGCCGTCCCTTTTTCTTGTTTTGTTTTTCCTTAGATTTGCTCTTATGAGCAGTTTGTTTGGAGGCCCTGGGTCTTTTCGGCGGCGGTTCTTCCCCAAGGGGAGGAGTCGAAGCCGCAGAGCCCTCATCAAGCTGCATGGAGGAGAGGCCCGGCCGCTCTCCGGAGAGAGGGGAGGGTGAGGGTTGCTGAGAGAGACTTGGCGCGGCTTGGCGAGTCTCCTCAGGGGCCAGTGCTTGCTCATATAAGAGCTTTCAGACGGGAGTCCCTGCTCTTTTGAGCCCGAGATGTAAAGGCTCTGCAGATCTCACAGGCAGAGCGATTATGGGACTCCCCAAGGCACAAAAGACACTTGGTGTGTCTATCGGCTTCTGGGAGGTTAGCTCCGCAAGCCGAACATTTTTTAAAAGATAAGGTCGACATGCTAGCCTGTCCGTGGTCGGTCCGTTGTCGGGGAAGGAGAAGGAAGAATCGTCGAGTGCAGTCCGAGTCAATATATAAAGTCAGGTAAGTAAGAAGAGGAAAGTCCGAAATGCTTCTGCTGTCGCGCGGAAAGAAGAACTGACGCGGAACTCCGCCTACTGCCTTTTATACCATTTGGGAGGGTGGGCGGGACTCCCGCCTAAACTCTTTTTAGCTAGAATGTTCCGAAATCACTGCGCATGCGCACAGAAACCCATTAGTGCGCATTTCACAGACTACACGAGGAAGAAATACACTGTATTATTGAAGGCTTTCATGGCTGGAATCACTGGGTTGTTGTAGGTTTTTTTGGGCTATATGGCCATGTTCTAGAAGCATTCTCTCCTGACGTTTCACCTGCATCTATGGCAAGCATCCTCAGAGGTAGTGAGGTCCTCACTACCTCTGAGGATGCTTGCCATAGATGCAGGTGAAACGTCAGGAGAGAATGCCTCTAGAACATGGCCATATAGCCCGAAAAAACTTACAACAACCCAATAAATACACTGCTTTTTTTTTAACCTGAGGGAATACCCCTCTAGAATATTCTAGGTCAATATGACTCTACAGACAGTTTTTTACTGCAAGCTGACTACAGAATTGTACTGGAAGATATAGAGATTCCTAGAGAGGTGTTCCCTTTAGAAATCTCTATATTCTGCAGCATGACTGGACAAAGTTGACAATAGAGTCACACCATAGGACCAAGAGATACCTCATGAATAATCTAATTAGCAAAAGTAAAAATTGCAAATGTGAAAGGACAACTGTAAACAATGAGTTAATTTTGCAAAGAAATGTATGGCTACATTGACTCAAATTAATACTTTAATTTGTTATTAAGGCAGAATAAAAATTTTACTTCCTAACTCTCAATCTTGCATGTTGTATATTTTAACCATCCTTAATTGCTGTTTGAAAACGTGGCAATACTACCATATAAACAACTCCAAAATCTGAGTTTGGGACCCTAGGATTTGGTTTCAGGGTCTGATGTCCCTCACCCACCATGTGCAATGAGAAGCAAGGCAATGGGGATGATATTATCCACAAAACAACACTTACTCTGACATCCTGAAGAGAAGCCAGCTCTACAGCCTTCTGAGCCAAGGTTAGCAAGTTGGCTTCTTGAGAAACACGTCGCCGTCTCCGTGTGCTCTGGATGACACCACCTCTAACTCCACTGAAGTCATTTGCTCTCTGGACAAGGCCTTCGTTTATAGCCATCTGCTTTTCGACTTCTCTAACATTCTCATATTTCACTTTCTCCATTTCAGGTTGGCTTGGCTGACCTCCCACTAGCAGCGCCCCATGTTCCACCTCTCCTTTGTTCTGCTGTGAATAACCGTCCTTATTGTGACTGAATCTTTCAGACTGATGCCGAAACTGGATGTCTGGATGCTGCTGTAGTTGCCAGTGATGGGACAGCACATTGCTGGAGTACTCCTCAGCCAGCTTTGATGCCAAGGCATCTTCTGCAGAAGATGCTGGCAAGACGCCTTCCTTGGAGAGCCTCCGTGATCTCCTTGGAAGAGGAATCTGGGCTTGGGGCAGGACAGTCTGTGGGTTCTGCTCTGTTAGGGCCTTCAGCAGCTCCTGGCTCCTCTCAGAAACAGAGTGGTACTGATGAGAAACCATGTGGTGCTGAGGAGGTGCTGTTGCATGAGGCTGCGCTACAGAAGCAGGTGGCTGAAGGCCATAGGCTTGTGAAGATGCCTGTTGTTGTTGCTGGTGGTGATGGTGATGCTGTTGCTGTGGATAGAAGTTTTCAAACAGTTGCATCTGTGGAAGAGCTTGTTGTTGCTTCTGCTGGGTGGTAAAGGCTGGGCTGGAGGAAGTAGGAGCTTGCTGAAAGACATGCAACAGTTCAGGGAGCCCTTGCTTTTGGCCCTGATGGCCAAAAGCAAGCTGGAAAGGCTGCAAAGGAAGTGTTTGGTTCTGAGTTTGTTGGTGTTGTTTCTGCATTTGCTGATAAGGATTCATCTGAGCTTGCTGACGGACCAGGGCTTGCTGTTCTAGCTGAGCTTTTTGAGACATCATCTGCTGGACAGCATCTCCATACATGTTCAGCTGTGACATGACGGCACCCTTCTCCCTGTTTCTTTTCAGGGTCTCTTGGTGGCTGTAGAATTCTTGGATGCCAGCATTGGGGTGGCCCCCTTTCTGGCTGCCTCCTCCATACAACATGCCATGATTCCACACTCCAGGCTGAGGAGGATGCCAACTGGCCTCGCTCCGCTCAGGCAACCGATTCCCCATCAAGGAGTTCTGCCACTTAGCAGCGGCTAACTGCTGGGGAGTCATCCGGGCCTCCCCTCGCTCTTGATAAACAGAATTCAGCAGAGCTGCATTGCTGGGGACTCCACTGAAGACTCCCGACTTGGTAAGCTCCATCGTTTGGGAGGCAGGCATATTACCTACATGGCCGTAGTAATGCTCTTCTTTTATCTGTTGCTGTTCGGCGTCTTTCAGCAGTCCAGGTGGTTCGCTATAATAGGCATGCCGTTTCCCTCCCCTCTTGTTTGAAGACTTCTGCTGAGCCTGCAGACTCATGGTTGAAAAGTGCAGGGGGAAATCAAACCAACAGCCAGTCCATTTCTAGTGCGTGAGGATTAAGCCAAAGGCAATACAAAAATAATCTCACTTCTAATATATGTGGAGATGTAAGACCCAGATTTTAGTTTGTCAGCCTTTCCGATTTACACACTGTGATTCAAAAGGAACCGTGAGTCCATTTGGAGTCAGAATCTGCAACAGAAATAATAAAACATAAATTAATTTTAAAACTCTAAAATCAAAACAGTAAATAAAGAACAACACTCAAAAACAGGGAACTTCCAGACAAGAAACAATCAGGGCCAGCTAATCACCTCCCAACAAAGATTTCCCCAGGCAGCAACTAGCCAGACCTTGAAACAGCTAGGCCATCAAGTGCGAATCAAGGGGGCCAACCACAACATTCACACCTGCCTCAAATGGGCAAGAGTTATTTCTCCCACCCTGGACATTCCAGAGAGATATATAACCCCACTTTCCTAGTTTCCAACAGACCCCACAACCTCTGAGGATGCTTGTCATAGATGCAGGTGAAACATCAGGAGAGAATGCTTCTGGAACATGGCCATACAATCCGGAAAACTCACAACAACCCAATAAATTAATTGCAAAACAACCCAAACATCTTGGCTCACCATCTTGAAAAAGTTAAGTCAGCTCACCTCCACCAGGAATGTGTGAGGGGATTATAAGTAAATATATTTACTTATATTTACGTAATTTAGATCCCATCTTTCTCCCATAATGGAACCCAAGTATTGTTCCTCAAACCTTAATTTTGTAGCTGACAAAGAACTATGAAAATCCTGCAAAGGCATCTCAACACAGATTAAAGACATGGGTTTTTATTAAAAGGTACAAATGAAAAACATTGACCTAGATGTTATAAAACAATTACTCATCGGTGTATGATTTTTCACACTACAGAAACAAGGGGACGCGCAGATAAGGAGGAAATAATCTGCACACAGTAGTCGAGGTAACATAAGCTATTCAGACACACTTCAATAGATTTTAATGCAGGGTCACACATAAAGAGAGCTGAGCCTGAAGTAGTAACGAAGTTTTAACTGTTGTAGAATTTTGGGAGTTTTACAAGTCCTTTAATCTTCTCTGCCAAAGAGTACCACTCCTCACCAAACTACAAATCCCAAGATGCCATAGCATTGAGCCATGGCCGTTAAAATTAGTGTCAATCTACAGTGTAGATGCACCCTTTATGTCCTCTACAGCATTTGGCTGAATTGCAGTTCCCAGCATTCCTTGCCACTGATTCTTCAGCTGGGGAGAATGAGAGTTGCAGATCTCTCGGATATCCAAAGAGAATTAAGCACAATTCTCATCCCTCTTCTTGATGAAGGATGCTGAATTACAATTTCCATCATTCCAGATCACTGGCTATGCTGGCTGAGGCTGATGGGTCATATAGTACTACAACATCTGAAGGCCAACAAACTCCCAATTCCTGCTGCAGAGAACTGTGCCAACTGTCCTTTAGCACCGGGAGATTGCATAACTTCCTTAGCAAGCTTGATGAACCAATACATAACAAAAACAGCCTGCATCTCAAGCTGCTCACATATATTTTGCAGTGTCCGTCAACACTAAGAGCTAGAAATAATTATTTACTCTGCAGAAGTACCATATGCACACGATGCCTCAACTCCAATATTCCCTTCTCCAGTGACTCAGTAAAGTGCATTGTTGTGTTACAGACAGTCTATCTTAACTCCCTGCCTTCTACTACGCAGTGAACCTTTCTTGACCCTTGCTAAAATAGCGTGGTTCAATTTCTGGCATTAATATTAGAAGCTACCAGACCAGAGACAAGTCTTGCATCAGAACCTTTTAAATACCCAACGTTCCCCATCGGTCCAAAAGAATAATAGACAAGAGGTTAAAAATATAAATTATTGTGAAGAGGGAAACAAGTCCCACAGACCAACTAAGTAGGGAGGTACATATTTTTGCAATTATTCATTCTGATAAGGTCTCTTCCTAGTGGGCAAGATCAGATCAGCTTTGCACGTGTATAATTTGTTATTCATGTTTCAGGGTTTGTTGTGAAAAATGTATTTGCACAAAAATGTTTTCATATAAAACAAAATGTTAATACTGTATAATAATTTGGTTTTATTAAAATCCTCACATATTTTGCACAAAAGACTGTAACTTTCGAACAAAATGATTTTTGCACACTCAAAACAAGTTGGTATGTTTGTGTGCATGTGTACATAAAAATATTTTCAAACAAAAGTCTCAAATTGAAACATCCAACAAAGGTGGATGCTTAATACAATGAAGACATTGATAGTTTTTTCAGATGCCTTACACTACTACAAGTAAGTACTGTATGAAGTAGTTAATTTTCAATGTCTGCACTACTGTAGCTACATATCAAAATGCAATTCCTTATTAATACTCTAATGAAAATGTTCTTCATTCTTTAATAAATCCCACTGTGCATTGCCCCCCCCCCCCCCCCCCAGTTCAACAAGGCCCTTTTGGAGAATTGACTGAATTAGGAACTGTACCTGAAAACATAGTAACTGAGAGGTCAAAGATGGAAACACAAACTTTTGTATGTTTAGTCAACTTCTTAAAGCGTTTGAGAAAGTAAACTTGGTCTACAAAACATATGCTGCTAATTTCATTCTCTCGGTTATTTTGAAAGGTGCTACAAAATCTCTTTTGCAGACTGATAGTCCAAGCTAACATGGCCCTGTCTTTGAATCCTAACCTGATAATAGGTATCTAAGAAAATGGGATCTCATCTGCTTACGTTTCACAGAAGACCTTTCTTAGTTATTAGAGATTATCATCCCAGTTCTGTCAACAGCTATTCACACTTTAGAATATTTTTTTAAAATATGTGTGCAAGTATCCTTAAAGATGCCTGCCAATTTATGGAGACCACTTACATTCAAAGGAAAGGGATACCCAAGGATTTTTTTGCCAATTCCTTGCTCTGGAATATAATCTACAATGCCTGGTATTCATTGGGCAAATTCCCATTCAAGTATTAACCAGGGCAGATCCTGTTTAGCTTCCAAGGTCAGACAGGATCTGGTGCCATTAGAGTATTTAGGCCCAATGTTTAGCCATTTCGTATTCATGGAAAGGATTAAAAATGAAATTCCTAAGTAGCCTTTTGGAACCCATAAGATGGAATGATGAAGGCATAGGAAAATACCTTAATGTTTGGCTTCACAGTGCCAAGGAAGGTACATCTGAGCTCCTTTAGGTCCCCAAGATACTATGCGCATAAATGGCATGTGTTACCAGAGTTCATCACACTTCAATTGTGCAAGATGTTCACACTGGCATAGAACAGTCATCAGACACCAATGTTATGAAACTAACGTCATTTTAGAAACTCCCCTTTGTTGCTTGCAGCATTATGAAATTTAGGCACTGCAGCAAAAATTCAAAATAAAAGATGTAGAGATTATGCAATCAAAAGAGCAGGAGCGGTAATGCCGACAAAGCTACGACTACGAAGATAGTATCTCTTAAACCAAGGATACTGGATGTTATTGCCACAGTGAAAATATGGACACAACTGGCTGCACAATAAAGTGAGACAGAAATATCAATGGGTTAAAAAGTGGTGGAAGATTTTTGGTAGCAAATTCAGCTAACAGGTATGTCATGTTTCCATAGTATAATGGAATGAGTTATTTCCTGCCACATGCATTGTCTCCGTTCCCATACTAACCACCAACACTCAGCTGAATGCTTCACATGCATATTAAGGTTAATTAAAATGACTGCCAATTATAGTACCAAACATCTGTTGTCACCAATGTGAATTTGGCACCTATCCAGCCTATTCAGGGCCCCGTGAGAAGCAAGTGACACCCAACTATCTTTTTCCCCCCAACTGTAGCTTTTGTAGCACAAACGGTGCAGTGTGGAGATTTTGTTCCTATACAAAGGTAAACAAATGAACAATAAAATAATCAACAGGTCTTTGAAATGCTTAGTTGACAACAGTCTGTGGAAACCATTTCAAAAAATAATGATTCAGTTCCGCTTTAATATGTCAGAATATAGAATGTGAGGTTTTAATCAGTCCCTCTCCGATATAACCTAAGTTGTCAAATAAGCAAAACTTGCAAGGAAAGATGACAAAGAAAAGAATCCACACACACACACACAACAACAACAACTCAATGCTTTACTCTTTGTGTAACCAATAGACCCTTTACATAGCAGTCCACATTTTAAAGATTCTGTCAGTCATTAGTGGAACTGAAAATGAAAGGAAGAACCAGCTGTTAGTTACAACACTTTACATTTGGGGGTAATGAGGGCATAGCCTTGTAATTTCTTTTAAAACTTGGAATTAAAAACAATGGAAAAATATTATGAATATAATGAAGAATGTTATTAGTAACCTATATATTTTTTCTGACTGGTTCTTTTTGTGTCAGGAACGACGTGAGAAACTGCAAGTCACTTCTGGTGTGAGAGAATTGGCCATCCGCAAGGAAGCTGCCCAGGGGATGTCTGGATGTCTGATGTTTTACCACCCTTATGGGAGGCTTCTCTCATGTCCCTGCATGGGGAGCTGGAGATGACAGAGGAAGTTCAACCTACTCTCCCCTGTCATTCAGCAGTCCTGCCATAACAAGGGTCTAACCCAGTGGTTCTCAACCTTCCTAATGCCGTGACCCTTAATACAGTCCCCCATGTTGTGGTGACCCCCAACCATAACATTGTTTTTGTTGCTACTTTATAAGTCATTTTACTACTGTTATAAATCATAATGTAAATATCCAATATGTAGGATCTATTTTAATTCACTGAACCAAACTGGGCACAAACACCCAATGCACCCACATGTAAATGCTAGTGGGGTTGGGGGAGGATTGATTTTGTAATTTGGGAGTTGTAGTTGCAGGGACTTATAGTTCATCTATAATCAAAGAGCATTCTGAACTCCACCAGCGATGGATTTGAACCTAATTTGCCACACAGAACTCCCATGACCAATGAAAAACACTGGAAAGGTTTGGTGGGTATTGACCTTGAGTTTGGGAGTTGTAGTTCACCTATATCCAAAGAGCACTGTGGACTAACGCAATGGTGGATCTGGACCAAACTTGGCACAAATACTCAATATGTGCAAATGTGAACACTGGTGGAGCCTGGGGAAAATAGACCTTGACTTTTGGGAGTTGTAGTTG